CCACCATTTCAACGGAGATGCAAATGCACTCCTACATTTGTTTCTCCACCTGTTCAGAGATGCTTAGTTAGCGATTTACAGAGGGTACCAAGCTGGAGAGTAGATACACGTTGCAGATAATAAAAAAGACCGTAGCTACTAGATTTTATAATCCTCGACGTAGTATCTTTCTCTAGGATTTGCTCGATGAGGCTCTTGATTGAAATCATACTTCAACATTAGAATTACCAGTCCATCGGTATCACGAATTTCTCAGGATCTCTTTGTTTTAATTACTACCGTTGAATCGTAATGATGATATGTGAAAAATATATTAACACGCGTTAGAGACTGATAGTTTTTGTGTTGAATTAAAATTGACGGAGAATACAGGGACGAAACGATTGCAACGAAACTTATGTTACATCCAATTGAGATGATGCGAAAAAACAGCGTTCTGTACGTTTTTGTATTTTCATCGAACATTCTGTTGGTCCTTTACTATACGATGATGGCACTACGTAACGTAAACGTAATGAAAAACGTGTTCACTTCCATTTCATCACACGGCGAATAACAAGAGAATAGACGAACAAACAAGCGAAGAGTGTATGCGTGAGAATTAGATTTTCGGTGAAGATGTGAGCGCTGTTTTCGGTAGTTATCGAGTCAGAAAAATTATCGAATCAATATCAATAGACCCTTTCGTCTCAACTGTCTGTTTTAAAAAATTATATCAAGTATTGTTTCCGAGAGAAAAGCTGTAATTCTGTGACAATTTTGCTACACCGATAATTCGGTATTCGTGAAATATAAAAAATCGAGCACGAACACGAGCAAGATAAAAGGTTGGATTGCAATGACGGAGGAGAGGGTGGAGTGGGGGAGGGACGAGGTGATCAGGTGAATTCCACGGGTGCGAAACGATTTATGTGAAGCGAACACCCGGCTGTAAAATAACACTTCCCATTCAAATCGACAAATTAATGGTCGTTTTCATGGATTCTTTGTTTGCACCGAGCCGACAATGGCTCGCTGCTGGGTTATTATTCTGAAATACTACTATGTCCACCGAGTTGGAGCAGAATCTGTGGAACGTGCGAGGCCAGTCCCCCGTTGAAAACTTACTTTTTTTCCGGCCAACACCAACGACGGAAGCCGAATTAGAAACAGAAGATTTGCTCATAAATTCCGATGATTCTTCCCTAATCAAAAAAGCCACTGCACGATTTTATCGAAGCATCCAACATCTCACAATCTCGAGCTGCGAAAACGGTATTACGTTTCAATAGACCAAAAGTTAGATTCGTTAGGTCAGTTTAAGTTGGAAGTTTCCGAGTTCCGTTGCTTTTGTTATTTTATTCATTGATTATCTAGCACGAAGTTCAATCTCACAGGTGTTTTAAAAGATCCGTCGCAATCGATATAGATTCAACGTTCTCTACCTTTCATTGACATTTTCCCTCGTTCGTCTTGAACTACTACTTACTTCAACTTACTCTCTTCGTCGGCCGAGAACTGTGGAATAATAAAAATTGGAGAGAAGTTGAAGAAAGTTGACGAAAGGAAATACCGACCCATTATCCCCGACAACGTAAATATCGAACCGCAATGATGTTCATTTATGTGCATGAAACAAACGCACGTTTATTTCTCAGTCGAGCACTAATATTCTCGTGAAGGCAAAGAACTCCTTTCTGCTTCTCTCTTTTTTTCTCTTTTTTTTTTCTTTTTTGTCCCGTCCTGTCTTTTCTGTATCGAAATTAATCCATGTCACTCAGCTAGACGCATGGAAATCCTTTGACAACGGCGGGGCATCGATGAAAGGCCGTTGAAGAATCGGCGCATATTTCTGCCGTTCGAAAAGGTCCCGTCGCAGTCGCCGAGCACAAAGAGCCGTGCCGTTGGAAATGAAAACGTGAAAAATAGGAGAGAAGGAAACGCGAGTTCAGAATCTGAACTCACGGCTAGCCTAGAGTCCTCGATTTTTCCGTGATAACGATCCACCGACGTTGTCGAAATTTCAACAATTCTAGACGAACGAATGTTCGAAGAGAATGTCATTCGAATAATAAATCCTATCGATGTTCGATCCTAGAACTATCTCGTGAAATCGCCGCTGGTAAAAAAGGATGAGAGCGATTCTCGTGCGAGTTACCACGAAAAATAAACACGTGGACTATTCATTTGTGTCAGAGCAGCTATGTCCGCAAGGTGGCCATTCATTTTATATGGAGTTCCTCGATGAAATAAAGGCACACTAACGCGCAAGGCAAAGAAATTCCTAAATCTTAATCGGAGATCGGCACGAATACTCGGGGAAAATGAACATTCCTTGATCCATCTTGGAAAAGATGGCTCTTGGAAAGATGGCTCGACTGAATCGAAGTTAATATGTGATATAAAATCGATATGTTTCATAAAAAAAATAATATAATATTTTCAACGCGTACACTTTAGTAGACTTTAATACAGAGATGGTATCTCAATGCGAAATTCGAAATTTCTAGATAGTGAAAGACTGAATATTTCCTTTGAAAAAGTGTCTCTGATATAAGCTAACACTTTCATGATCGCGCATATTCGACTGTGCTCAACGCACGATACTAGTATAATAATGTAGGTAAAAGATACGGTATTTCGTATCATATAATACAATCTAATATAACACGTAACAGTAAAAGTCACGAAATATAAACGTAATGTAAAGTTACGTGAACAGCTAAGCGCAGTTCGCGAAAAAATGTTAATATTTAAATTTCGTGTTAACACTACAACGACCGGTTACTTTCGGAGAGTAACTTTTATCAGGGGTCGACATGTTTCATTAAAAATTCATACAATTTCATGAAATTTGTACAAAGGAATTTCTGAAAAACAACAGAGCGGAAATTCTAAATACGCGGGTAAATGAATATAAACATTGTCTTATTAACTACATCAACTTCTTTCACAGTCAATTTCCTTATCACTAAAATTCAATCGTATTAATACGATTACTAGAAAACGGAACGAACGTAGTAACATACGTATTCATTCATGGTTTTGAAAACACTGTCCACAGAGTAAACTACTAGATCAATAATTTTATCTTTTACTCTGTATCACGTTCCATGCCCCGCTAATATAAAAATCTTCCTCGATAAATAAACAACAAAGACGCGTATTAAAATTTCTCGGAATGACACGGTTCTCGGACATCAACGTTTGACTGAGAAAGTCACGATAACATTGCCGGTCGTCGTAGCATTGACAATGAAAAATATGTGAAGAGATGGTGCGTCAAACCTTGAACCGGTGCGTAAATGTTTAGGTAGAGGCAATCCTCGCTCTGGTTCCTCAGGTAGGGCAGCAGTCTCCTCAAGTACTCGACCCTGCCTTTCGGCATTTTGTCACTGAGCTCGGGCAGCCTCTGCGGGCAGACGGGCCCGAATTTGTCGGCCACCTTAACGCCGTGCCAAAGCGCGCCACTGACAGGAGGCATGAAACGTAACGAGCCGACCGGCGGCGACGCGTACGGAACACCGCGGAACACCTCGACGCCCTCGAGGTGCCGATCGAGGGTCACGATTACGCCCGACAGTTCCCCGTACTTTGTCCTGACGATCCTCGAGCTGAGCTCGGCGCTGGCAGTCGCCAGGATTAGGCCGAGCAGCGCCAGGATCGACGACGTCATCTTCGTTCGCGCCCTTGAAACCCCGTCTCCACGCCTGCTCCCTTTCGCGATCACTCGAGCTCGACCGACGATATCATTTCCCCTTAGAACCTCTACCCGCCTCCAGAGGCCGGAGCGCGCACGATCATGCCCATCTCGTCGCCACGAGGATCCGGCGCGCGTTCAGGATGCATCAGCGAGCGATCCGTGTCGTGCAACCAAAATGGTCCGTTTAAACTTCGCCGCGGTTAAATACTTTCATCTAAGTTCATATCATCCTCAGGCTTCTCGGAGAGACGGGGAGAAGAGAGAGAGAGAGAGAGAGAGAGAGAGAGAGAACTTGCACGTTATTACGAGCGAGTTTATTATCAAAACCGAGTAGCGTCCCTTTTAGCGTTTCAACGTTGTTTGTCCATCCCTTCTTGGAGAATTTCCGACGACGAATCTTCCGCGAGCAGTCAACACGCGATCCCAACAGACATCCCCGAGTCGGCGTTATGAAAGGTAAACACGGTGAGCACGCTGTTTTATTATCCGTTACGCGTGACACGGTTTCCCTCGACGGGAAACGTATCTCGAGAATGGTGTCTCGATTGCGTCGACACGGGAACGCGACTGGATCAAACTACCTCGAGTAGGGTAGTTCGTCGTTTCGGAGCAACGGTCCGCATCATTTCGAAAATCATATACCGAGTGCGAGTTACAAAAAGACGATCTCGTTTCTGATAGCGTGCTTGATATGGCGGTACAAGTAAAAAGCGCCCGCCCTTATGATGCCCAAGAGAAAGCCACGGCTCCGATGTTTACCGGTTCGCTTCATCTTTACCACCCAGCTCGCCAGAGTGGATAGAGGAAGGAAAGGCACCGGATGCCGTCGAATTACGTCCACCGTTTCACCGCTCTCTTTCTCTTTCTCTTCCTTTGGACGGACCGAAGCTTCGGAAATTCCCTTCTTCCGCTCTTACGCGGACATCACCTCGCTGTTTCTTCTGTATATTTGCCTTTCACAGGATTGCGCGAAAGCCGTTTGGCAAGAACTTGGCGCAGAACAGCACGTTACTGTCTCGGAGGATATCACCGTCTCTCACACGGACATTTCGTAATCGAAGCAACTTGAGCATCCAAAGACACACGAGCCCCAAACGATCGATCACTAACGACGACGATGAAAAATCCACACCGAATCACACTGTCACACCGTGTGTTATTCCATTCTCTGTCTTAACCAACAAACTGTCTCTGCGTCCGCGTACGCCAGTTCAAGCCCCGTGCCCGCTCGGTTCACATACCCTTGACGAGTTCGAAGGGAGCTCGCGAGCGATCAGTGATAGCAAAACGCGTCCGTCGTTTTCGGTGAGCAACTACAAGGTAGTGAAGCTATACGGACGCACGCAACCCCCTCGATCCGGCCGGAATTTGCCACGGAACGACACACGCGACGACACTGGACCGGGAACACTCTTTTCACGCACTTCACACTTCCCGGAGTCATGTGGCGATCCCTCTGTCACGTGGTGGCCGCGTAACGCGATCCAATCCACAGATAGATCGTGAGGATCACGCATTAGAAGGAAAAGGATGCGAGACGCGAACGCGGACCCCGCTGGACCAGAGGAGAGCCGAACTTTCCGTCACTTGAACCTCGGACAGACTGGCGTCAGGCGACGTTGCTCGCGCGAAGCTGCGCATGCTCCGCGCATACGTTACCCACACCGCTCGCCGACATGGGCGGAAGTCCGCGGACGCGTCGATACAGCAGGTGGCGTCGACATTGACCGGAGAAATTTGGTTTGCGTCTCGATTTCACCAGTTCGCCTCGCGACAAACTGACTTCATCTACTTATTACTTATTTCGATCGAGTTCGAAATTGCTATCGCGCGTGTGATGAACACGACGCAATTGCAATGATTAAAGGATTATTTTAATCGAGAGCCGTTAATTTCTATTGGTCAACTTTCGAGGCAACAAGGTGCAATTTTGCAGAGTTATCTTTATCGCTGTGTCTTTTGCAGTACATCACACTTATGTTGTCGCATTCGTCCGAAGGAAAAAACTCTAAGATGAATTTCCAATCTAAAAGTAATCATCTAAAGTAATCATCTCGTGAACTGAAATTATAACAGCGTCGACAATTGCCTGAAAAATTCGTGCTCGCTTCGTTCTAATTCATAAAATAATATTTCTGTTCACATGAATACGACAATCATTATATCATGATATATTGCGGAAAACATAACAACAAAGAGAATCGTACAAAGACTTCTTTGCGTTGAATTGAAACATAACCAGACGAGAAAACAAAATTTCAAAATCCTTGATCTATAATTATCTGATTATCCTCATTTAATAAATCGTCTAAAAATTCGGACATATCCGAATAAAAATATCTTTTTACTTAAATGATTGTGCAGAATAACAAAGAAAGAACGCGATTTAAGGTGTTATTGTATAATTTTACGAATAAATTACATACATTTATTTTTTGTATTAATATTACCGAAGAAAGAGAATTACCCGTTAAAATCCATGTTAACACACATATGTCGGTCTTGTTTATGACTTTACGTAAGATTGAGCAAACAAACGTTGCATCGGAGTTAAAATTACGATCTCGTTGAAGCACTCCTTTTGATAAGCCGAAGCAAGATAACTGGATCCATCAATAGCTAGCAAACAAACCCTAGTATCCCGTATATACTCTCGTTGATCATATTGTAAATGGAACTTACAGTGTTTTATGCGAACTATTTTGATTGCACTCTATATCGTTTCCGATGAGAGAAACTATTGCAATTTTCTTTGCACTTTCTTTTTCTTGTTGAAAAGATATATTGGTTTGGAATATCATATTCCAGGTTCTCCGTAAAAATTGAGTTTATGTTTAGTTCAGTGGAATTCGTTTAAAAATAAGTGTCTTATTGACTGACACGATTCCGTCCATTCTCCTAGTCCGAAAAAAGAATGAAGAAATATTTTGATCGAATACGAATGTGACTATGAAGTGAACCAAAATAAAATAAAATAAAAAGTTTGAGAGTGAGAAAAATGCTTGCACTTTTCATCTGCAGTATTGATTTTTCAAATATTTTGTATTTATTTCTTGTGTATAGTAGTGTGTGTAAAAAAAAAAAATGTAAAAAAGAGATGTGTGCTAAAGATATCAGAATTTTATGTTCGTCGCATCGTTCAACTAGGACATTGAACATCGTTTCAACTATTTCAAAAAATATATTTGGATTTCAAACATATGAAATTAACTTAATTCTGCAAAATAAAATAAATTCTCCTGCGCATATATGATTGCAAACAAACGTGTTTCAAGAAAATGTAAGAAAAAAATTGATTTTTTTTCAAATTTCTAAACCAGAATATCCCTTTAACTAGACTATAGGGGCGATCTTCGATTTCTCACTTACGCGTGAAATTGTCGAATATCGTGCAGTTTGAAACGAAAGAAAGATCGATTGCCATGCAGTTAGGTAGACGTTTAATGCAACGGAACAATGGCTATCTCTCGTTAACGAGGTAACGTCGAACGTGTATCGACAACAGGCCGCTTTAGTGCTTTCAATCTCTCTGTCTATGCCTAATAATAGATCCACGCACGTTTCCAAAATGCTGTATTCGATATCGGTGCGAAACGAGACAATATGAATTTCTATCAAAATTGTCACACTTGACAGTTACCTTCAAAGCTCAAAGTCGAAATCTTTATCGAGAGCAAAATATCGAATGGTAAAGAAAAAAAAAGGTTCGCAATAATTTTCTTCGTGTCGCTTACGAATCTATATTTATTTTTATTGATCCATCTCTAGTTACGGTGCTTCATCGTATCAGAGATTCGCGAGTCAGCTTCTAGAGATCATTTTCAAAGTTGATTGTACACAGCTTCCTGTAAATCACGCTGTTTCGTGAATCATCTCGAAGAGATGAGGGTGAGAAAAGAAGGAGCCTGGATGGGCGAAACGAAATTGGAATATCAGTCTGCCTAGCTAGCAGGTGGAAAACTTTTTAACGAGAATTTCAGAGAAGAATGACTAAAAGCGCGGTCGGTTTCTTCGCAAAGTTTCGCGATGTACAACACCAGTCTCGTCTTTATGGTTCAGTCTGTGTAGTTATACTCGTTAACAAACTTCGATGTACTCTAAGCTCCTCTTAAAACAGAATATCCCCGGCTTTTTGACCCGGATGCGTGTCGAATGGGCCACCGACGACACGCAGAACTACGCCGGCACGTTCTAGATAAGCCTCGACCTGTGGACTCGACTTGCGAATCCAACCGGTGTTACTCTGCAAAAACTTTGATAGTAGAAGGATAATTACGTCTCAATGTAACATGTTACAATTTTAATTTAAAGTTTGCGCCGTGTAAAATGAATATAAAACGAACCATAATAAAGGTATCACGAGATTCATCGAGAACTAATTCATCGTTACGTCTACCCCCAAAGTGCGTATTACATATTCATTGAATTGTATTTTACCAAGAATACGTGTGCTTCAATCGAACTGCCATAACTTACATTACTAATACAGTTACGTTGACACCGAGGCAAGTTACACGTGAGCTATATATTTCTCGATACTAATGTATGACAATGCAAAATATTACGCTGCTAACCGATAAAATACCAATGAGCGGTATAGTGTTCCTTTTTTATTTAATGTCTCTTAACTTTAATTACATATTACGATATGTAGAATTATCTGAACGAGTGAATTGTTAAAATTATTCGAAAAAAAAAAAAAAAA